TTCAATAGATGTTTGATTATTGCTTGGAGGAATGGCCTCTTAGGTGGTAGGGACAAACTTCCATGTCCAGAATAATTCTATATGTGAAAAGTAAATCTCAAGCACCAGGGAAATCAGGAGATCCCGGCAGATTAAACGGTTATAAAGATTTATTGTAAGCTTAAGGTGTCTACAAGAATCTGGCCAACTAAAAGTCAAGGGAAATGAGCGGGAGATAAGATCTCTATCTTTTCTCTCTCATCTATCTTCTCTATCATCTATCTATCTATCTTCTCCCTCTCATCTACAGTATATCTATCCATCTACCCATCTGTCTTCTCTATCATCTGTCTGTCTATCATCTCTCTTCTCTCTATCATCTATCTATCTATCTATCTATCTATCTATCTATCTATCATCTATCTATCTATCATCTACCTACCTACCTACCTATCTTCTCTCTCTCTCTATCATCTCTCTATCCTCTCTATCCTCTACCTTTCTATCATCTTCTTTCTATCGTCTCTCTCATCTATCCATCTATCTACCCATCTATCTTCTCTATCTTCTCTCTATCATCTGTCTATCATCTCTCTTCTATCATTCATCTATCTATCTATCTATCTATCTATCTATCTATCTATCTATCTATCTATCTTCTCTATCATCTATCTGTCTATCCACCCATCTATCTTTTATCATCTGTCTATCTATCCATCATTTATGTCTCTCTCTAATCTATCATCTATCTGTCTGTCTATCTAATCTATCATATCTCTCTATCCATCCATCTATCATTATTTTTACAAATAACCCAAGGTGGCAAACATATCCAACACACTTCCCTCCTCCTATTTTCCCCAAAACAACAATCCTACGAGGTGGGAAGCGCTGAGAATGATTAACTGGCTTTCATGTCTAAAGTGGGACTAGAACTCAGAGTTTCCTGGTGATTGGGCTAAAGTCCCCCATTCAGCTTTCATATCTAAGGCAGAACTAGAACTCTCTTCCTTTTTCACCTGGTGCCTTCAATGAATTCCTGGGATAGTAAAGGAAACTAATTTACTAATCTGAAGCCAGCGGAACCAGGCTAGGAAAATCTGTTCTACCTGAACATCTGAAACACAGTTACAATAAGTTTTGTAATACAAATAACAAATCAGTACAACCATTCTCTTTTATGTAACTTTTAAATTACAAATAAACATTTCTAGCCCGAAGTTACATGCAGGGTCCTTGGTGCTCTCTGAGCTTGGTCGTTTTCTTGCAGACATTTCATTACCAAACTAGCTAATAACATCAATGCATCCAGTAGAAGTTACATAGGATGAATTTGTGACATTAAAAATTAAGCCAAAAAATAAAAATAGCAGTATAACTCAAATCCTAGGCATGCCAATTCAGAAAGGAACCCCGCTTTCCTTCGCAGGGTTATTTTCCAATGGCATAAAATAGCTTGCCAACGCTAAGGCTGTTTCTGACCACCTCTCTAACTGAGCAAGGCTCAAATCAAACAAACCGAAGTTTGTTTGTGTTCTGCAAAACACAAGAGCTGCGTTTTCAAGGCAGAAAAACCTTCAGATCCCCCCTTTAAAGTTTATTTTATTGCAAAAGCGAGGCCATTCCTTCCTAAATTTATTCCTGGGAAACCTATGCTTGCTAGATCCACCTACCATCCTAGTCCCAAAAAAAGCTGCAGCAAAGAGATGCTCTTTTGCTCCTAGCCTGTTTGCAAGCAAAATGCAAATCCAGACAAACAGACCCTTTAATTTTTTTTGCAAAAATCCCATCTTTAATTTTTGCAACTTTTAAATTTTTGCAAAAAAAGAAAACCCCATCCCTCACCTTGAAGGAAAGCAGACATTCAACGGTGGCCAATGCCGGCTCGAAGAAGGAAACTGCAGAGACCAAGTAAGGAAGTGGGGGAAAAACCACATTTCCCATCAGCCTTTTCGTTCTGAACTACAACTCCCACAAGGCTAGTGGGAGATGCTGGAGTTTTAACCTCTGCCATGCCACAATCTTACAAACACCCTTAAGCCTGCAAAAGCAGTACGATTTTTAAAAAAAAGTGGAGAGGAATTTCCCACCTTATTTTCTTTTGTGGTTCAGCAATTTTTTGCAATTTAACTTGGTCCTCCTCCCTTAAATTTCCATCCCTGCATCTCAATTTTTTTTTTTTTTTGTCAAAGTGGTTATTGTTGTGTTTTTAAACTTGGCAACTTTAAGACCAGTGGACTTCAACTCCCAGAATTCAAGTGGTGGAGAATTCTGGGAGTTGAAGTCCAGTTATCTGAAAGTTCCCAAATTTGGAAAACACTGGTGTGAATTGTATTTCTTTTTAGAATGACTCAATGCCACTTTAGCCTGTTTTTAAAAACACTGTCCACGCAACAATTGTGTTAATGATGGAGTTTCAGCCATCGCTGGTCTGGATATGAAGCAAAGGGATGTAAGGAAGTTTTCAAAATTTGCTGGCATCTCGTGGTCATCTGGATTTTGGAAACCCGGACCTGGTGGCCTAATTATATATACAGTATCCTGCAAATAGTAAAAAATGCAATTAAATGTTCTTATTCTGCCTTCCGCTGAACCACTTAAAGTGGATAGCTTAAATCAAGACAGCATTTGCATAATTGCAATTTTATTTACCACTCCCTTTTTGGCATTTAATCAATGATCACATGATTTGCTTTCCAATGTCAGCTTATCTTGGTTAGTACAGGTCGTTCTCGACTTGCAAACTTTCATTTAGTGACCGTTCAAAGTTACAACAGTACTGAAAAATGTGTCATAGGACCGTTTTTCACACTTAGGACCGTTGCAGCATCCCCAATGATCACCAGAGCAAAATTCAGACGCTGGGTGTTCGTATTTATGACAGTCGCAGTATCCTTATTGACAAGCAGAGTCAATAAGGAAGCCAGGTTCAGTTAACTGGGTTAGTAACTTAATAAATGCAGTGACTCACTCAACCACGGTGGCGAGAAAGGTCGTAAAATGAGACAAGGCTGTCTTGCTTAGTGACAGGAATTTTGGGGTTCAATTGTGGTCGTAAATTGAGGATTACCTACAATGATTTTAGAAAGCAGATTCCTAAAGGCAAAGGTAAAGGTTCCCCTCGCACATATGTGCTAGTCGTTCCTGACTCTAGGGGGCGGTGCTCATCTCCGTTTCAAAGCCGAAGAGCCAGCGCTGTCCGAAGACGTCTCCGTGGTCATGTGGCCGGCATGACTCAACGCCAAAGGCGCACGGAATGCTGTTCCCTTCCCACCAAAGGTGGTCCCTATTTTTCTACTTGCATTTTTTACATGCTTTTGAACTGCTAAGTTGGCAGAAGCTGGGACAAGTCACGGGAGCTCACCCCGTTACGCGGCACTAGGGATTCGAACCGCTGAACTGCCGACCTTTCGATCGACAAGCTCAGCGTCTTAGCCACTGAGCCACTGCATCCCCTAGCAGTTTCCTAGTTCCTTCTAAAATAAACCCGAGATTGAAACGTTCCTGATTTCTATTTTATCAGCAGTGCAAATAAGATAGATCAGGCAGCTTCAAATCCAAACTCGATGCTTACTCCTGTCATTGGTCACCACTCTGAAAAAAAACAACCCTCGATATAAATGCCAAAAATATATATATTTAAATGGCAACGTAACATCTGTCAGCTCCTTTGCTTTCAAATCACGATGGTCAGTCAGCCCTCCGATCTGCTCCTGGCAACCAGATTAGTGGCTCTCCAGCTGATTTTTGCCGTGCTGATCGGAAGAAAGATAAATAAAGCAGAACAGGTCAGTCCAACCTGAATAGATGGGCATCATTTTAACACGATTGTGTGGGCTAATAGCACCATCTCTCAGTTCTTCCAAACTCTTGCTTGTGTCCTCACTAATCTAGCTAGTCTCTATAGTATAATAAAAGAATAACAGAGTTGGAAGGGACCTGGGAGATCTTCTAGTCCAACCCTCTTCCCCCAGGCAGGAAGCCCTATAACATCCCAGGATCCCACATTCCTCTCCTCCTCCTCCTCCTCTTCACAAACCCCCCTCCCTTCTAACACTGATGATGTTACCTAGTTGGGTCATGAAAAGTTTGCAAGAAAACAACCAAGCTCAGAGAGCACCAAGGACCCTTCCTCCTCCTCCTCCTCCTCTCCAGAAACCCCCTCCCTTTTAACACGGATGATGTTAGCTAGTTGGGTCATGAAACGTATCTCCTCCTCCTCCTTCCTCCTCCTCCTCTTCTCCACAAACCCCCCTCCCTTCTAACACGGATAATGTTACCTAGTTGGGTCATGAACCATCTGCAAGAAAATGAGCGAGCTCAGAGAGCACCAAGGACCACAGTTGTCCTCCTCCTCTTCTCTGCAAACCCCACTCCCTTGTAACACTGATGATGTTACCTAGTTGGGTCATGAAACGTTTGCAAGAAAACAACCAAGCTCAGAGCACCAAGGACCCTTCCTCCTCCTCCTCCTCTCCAGAAACCCCCCTCCCTTCTAACATTGATGATGTTAGCTAGTTGGGTCATGAAACGTTTCTCCTCCTCCTCCTCCTCCTCCTCCTCCTCCTCTTCTCCAGAAACTCCACTCCCTTCTAACACTGATGATGTTACCTAGTTGGGTCAGCAAACGCCTGCAAGAGACCACCCAGCCCAGAGAGCATCAAGGACCCTTTGTCAATCCCGAACTCCAAATCTTCTCCTTTTTTTTCTCTCTTCTGATTGACGGATCAGGCTCTGAGCCAGGCTGCCCACTTCTCTCCCACCCACCACCCCCCAAAATGATCTCTGCCCCAGATCCTAGTCGGTCTGTCTGTCTGTCTGTCTGTGTGTATTTTGCAAAAAACAGCAGCTCCGGGAAGCGCAAAGTCTGCTTGGAGGCCCCTGGCTTTTGCAAGGCGGCGCTCGCGGGCGCCGGCGGGGAGGGGAAATCCCGGGCGGGCGCGCGCAGGGAAAGCGGGGAAGGGGGGGGGGGTTTGCGCCGGGCGGCCGCGCGGGGGCGTCTCGTGCACGAGCCCCGAAGCCCGAGCCGAGCCGAGCCGAGCCGAGCCGGGCTGGCCGAGCCCCGGGCCGGAGGAAAAAAAGGCACCATGCCTTCCGCGCCGCTGCCGCCCAAGGAGAGCAACCTCTTCAAGCGGATCTTGGTGAGCCAGGCGGGGACCCCCCCCCCCCACATATCCCCCCCCCCCCCCCAAGAGAGGGAGGGAGGGGGGGGTTTCTTTGCAAGCCCCCCCACCTCCCCCAGGGCTCCCCCCGTTGCAAAGACCCCCCCCCAAAAGCTCCCGGAAGGGGCCGCGCCTCCTTGGCAGCCATGCACGACCCCCCCCCCCGGGAGGGGGCGGCCCCCTTGTCCTCGCAAAGAGCGGGGGCCCCCCCCCCCAGCCCCCCCTCTTGGCCAGGCCCGGTGGGTGAAGGAGGGGAGACGTCCTCGGAAGGGCCCGGCGCAAGGACAGGGTGGGCAGAGGGGCTTTGGGGGCTGCAGTCTTGGGCCAGACGTTGGCAGGGCCTCCCTTCCCTCTCTCTTTCTCCTTCCCTCTCTTTCTGCCTCCCTCTCTCTCCCTCTCCCTCTCTCTCTTTCTCTTTTCCTCTCTCAGACTTTCTCCTCCCTCTCTTTCTTCTCTTCCTCTCTCTCCCTCCCTCCATTCCCCCCTCTCTCTTTCTTTCTCTCCTCTATCTCTTTCACTTTTCCTCTCTCTCTTTCTCCTTTCTTCTCTTTCTTTCTCCTCTCCTCTCTTTCTTTCTCTTTTCCTCTCTCTCTCTTTCTCCTTCCCTCTCTTTCTCCTCTCCTCTCCTCTCTTTCTTTCTCTTTTCCTCTTTCTCTCTTTCTCTTTTCCCTCTTCTCTCTCTTTTTCCCTCCTCCCTCTTCTCTCACACCTTCCTCTCTCCTTCCCTCTCTCTCTCCTCTCTCTCTCTCTTTCTTTCTCCTTCCCTCTCTTTCTGCCTCCCTCTCTCCCCCACTCCTCTCTCTCTCCTTCTCTCTTTTCCACCCTCTCTCTTTCTTTCTCTTTCTCCTTCCCTCCTCTCTCTTTTTCCCTTCCTCCCTCTTTCTCTCACTCACTCCTTCTCTCTCTTCTTCCCTCTCTTCCTCTCTCTCCTTTCCTCTTCCATTCTCTTTTTGCATCTCTCCTAACATCTCTCTCTCACTTTCTCTCCCTCCCTCCCTCTTTTTCTTACCCCCTCCTCTTGCTCCTTCCCTCTCTCTCTCCTCTCTCTCTCATTCTTCCTTTTTCTTTTCCTCTTTCTCTTTTTCTCCTCCCTCCTCTCTCTTTTTCCCTTCCTCCCTCTTTCTCTCACTCACTCTTCTCTCTCTTCCTCTGTCTCTTTCCTCTTCCATTCTCTTTTTGCATCTCTCCTAACGTCTCTCCCTCTTTCTCTCCCTCCCTCCCTCTCCCTTCTTCCTCCTCTCCTCCCTTTTCTCTCTTTCTCTCCCTCCCTCTTTCTCTCTTTTTCTCCCTCCATCCTCCCCCCCCCCCTTTCTCTCCATCCTTGATCTTCTCCCTACCTGCTGCATTAGAAATGGAAACTGAGGCAGGCTGAAATATTGGCCTGGCTTTGCTGAGCTGCTGGGTGGGAGTTTGGCAGGGCTTAAATGAAACCCATCACTGGAGGATTTTAAGAAGAGTCTAGACAGTCACTTATCTGAAATGGCATAGGTTCTCCTGCCTCAGCAGGGGGCTGGACTAGAAGACCTCCAAGGTCCCTTCCGGCTCTATTTCTATTCTAAATGCTGTTGTCGATAAACAAACTTTGAGTCCTGCTTTCCTTCCATTCTTTCCTTCTCACTGACCACTATTCTCCTAAGGCCCCAAAACAAACCCCAAATGTGGTTTACAGGTAGTCCTTGACTTACGACCATTCGTTTAGTGACCGTTGAGATTTACAACGGCATTGGAAAAAAAGGGACGTAGGAACAATGAAGGAGAATATTTGTAGGCCAGGCTAGGCCTTGGTGCTCTCTTCAGCTTGGTTATTTTCTTGCAGACCTTTCATTACCCAACTAGCTAACATCATCAGTGCTAGTAGTGACGGTAGGCTGTTAGCACTGATGACGTTACCTAGTTGGGTAATGAAAGGTCTGCAAGAAAATAACCAAGCTCAGAGAGTACCAAGGACTCCCTCATTACTTAGGACTATTTTTCACACGACAGTTGGTCAAGTGATCAAAATTAGGAAGCTTGGCAACTGGCATGTACTTATGACGGTTGCAGGGTCCCAGGGTCAGGTGATCCCCTTTTGTGACCTTCCGACAAGGAGGGGGAGGCAGATTCACTTAACAACCGAGTTATTAACTTATCAACAGCAGTTATTCACTTAACAACAGAGACAAAAAATGTCATAAAATAGGGCAAAACTCACTGAATTTTGGGCTCTGTTGTGGTTATAAATTCCAGCATGACCTGCAGTGGGTTACCTACTTTTGTTTAAAGGATTTTGCAGAAATATTTTGCAATGCTAGATTTTGCTCTTCGCGGGGAATTGTTGGTCAACTGTCCCAAAAATGAGGAAATCGCTTAGAGACGGTCACACAAACAAAAGTTGTTGGTGGCTTCTAAATTGTCTTTGTGGCCTTCAGGAACTAAGGTGACACCCACCTCCATGATAACTTTTCGCCAGAGTTTATGTGTTTCTCCAGAAAACCTGTTTTTTTGCTCTTTTTAATTGCAAATAATTGAAGTTCACCAACCTGGAAGTGAGCTTCAAGAGTTTAGAGCAAGATTTCTCCATCTTCAGCAACTTGAAGACGTGTGGACTTCAACTCCCAGAATCCCCCTCAGCCGACTGTGCCGGCCATATTGGCTGGGGAATTCTGGGAGTTGAAGTCCACACGTCTCCAAGTTGTCAAGATGGAGAAACATTGGTTTAGAGGGACTTACACATGTAATCCCTGACGTACATCTGTTAAATTGAACAATGTTTCAGAGTTACAACAGCCTTGGAAAAAGTGACTTACAAGCTGTATTCTCACTTAACGACTGTCACACCACCCCTGATGTCATGTGGTCGCTGTTCAGGCGCTGGGCAGCCAGCTCGAGTTACGACGGGTTGCAGCATCCTGTGGTCGCATGATTTTTGATCTTTTTGTTACCGATTTCCAACAAAAAAAGGAGTGATTTGCTTACCTGCCACTGTTAAAAATTGTCGTCAAATTGGGTCCAGCTTGACTTACAGCACAACCTAGGATGGATATTCAGTCGTCGTAAGTCGAGGACTGTCTGTCGAAGTTTTTGAATTCTCTGTACTGATGTGTAGATTGAAGGCAGTGAAAATGTTGTGGCCTGTCTGTCAACGGCCCCTCCAGCGGCCGAATCAGAGGAGGAGGAGGAGGAGGAAGAGGCTTGGGAGTCAGTGTCAGCATCGAGGCAACCTGAGAGCTCCGAGGGGGAAGAGGGAATGGAGCTGGCAGAGAGAGAGAGAGGCGGAGCCTGGGCCGTCTATCACCCCTCAGAGGGAGAGTCAACAGCCCCCAGTTCTGGAAGTGGCTGATGAGGAAGAGGAGGAACAGCTGGGTCCAGTGCCTGACATGCAAATGCGCAGAAGGCAGAGGAGAGGAGAGCAGTGGAAATCTATGGGCTGGTCCTTGGGAAGGAAGAGCCACCGCTGCTAGCGAAGCCCCTCCCTAGCTCTGGGGATTAAAGACAGGGGATGGAGATGAATAGATGTGGCAGACAACTTCATCTCCCAGCCGGCCAGACTTGTTAGCCTGCGTTGAGAGAGAAACTTTTTGCCGGGGATGCTGGCACCCCTAATAAAGGAATCTTTTGAGTTAACTTCAGAGGGTTTGTTGTGTTTGAGGATCTGGGTCAGAACAGTAGTGCCCTGACATTTATAGGACCAAATTTTGATAGTAAAGATTTAAATCTAAATTAAAAGCTTGGTTTCCACTGTTCATATTTTTGTAACTTTTATTTTCCTCTGAACAGGAATACAAGCTTCAGAAAGAAGTAAGGACGTAAAAATATTAATAGATGATATGTCCTAATAAGTCATAGAAACACTAATGTCAGAGTTCTGACTGCCCCAATTAATTCATGAGTTTCAAAAGAAATCCAGCTATTTATTAGGAGCAACATGTCAGCACGTACCCAAGTGAAGTCAGCTCTGCTTCAGGAATGCTTTACGAGTTGACAAACTAATAGGTAATAAGTCCTAATAACTGTGAATAAACAGGGTTCGGACATGATACTCTATAAAATCTCTTTAACACAGGTAGTCCTCAACTTACAATAGTTCATTTAGTGACTATTTGAAGTTACAACGGCACCGAGAAAAGTGCCTTATGACTATTTTTCACACCACTGTTGCGGCATCCCCACAGTCATGTGATCAGAATTCAGAGGCTTGGCAACTGACATGTACCTGTCGGTTGCAGTGTCCCGAGGTCATGTGATCTCCTTTTACTCGTGGGTGGATGAATGGATATAGATATACTGTAGATAGACAGACAGACAGACAGATGATAGACAGACAGATAAATAATGCTTGTTCAGCACAATAACTTATTACATTATGAAAACTACCTCACTATCATTGTCAGTCTGAGTAAAACCTTCCAAGTCAAAACGTAACAAGTAAAACATCATGAACTTTACACTAAATTCTAATTCCAGTCTTTCCCATAGCTTGGGAAAAAAATTAATTAGATATTAGAAATGCATCTTCTCGCTTAGCCAAGAAATTGCGGAGGCATAACTGCACCTGTGGTGTTTTTGCAAATATTCACATAATTATTCATGTGAAACGGGTTGAATTCTTGTAAACTAGGAGCTGCTACTCTGGGGACTGCATTCTGGTTAATAATTATTATATCCTAAACTGCTTTGTGCTTTAAGCATACTCTGAGTTATGACGGCTGATTGGTACACTAATCAGCATACAATAAAATGAAATTTCATTGCATACAGCTCTCAAAGAGTCACCACCTCAAATATACACTACATGAACATGACAAAATAAATAAATAAATACAAAATTATGTATATAATATTATGTACTGTATATAATATAATGGGCTAGCATTATATACAATAATACATATCCCAGTCAATTTCTACCATTAAGAATGAGAATTCACTACTGCAGAAAATGAATGCTATTAAACCATAATGCTATTTGTTTTCCATTTATGACAATATGGGAATCCAGC